AAAACGGAGATTTCACTCTGAAAACGCATCAAATGTTTTCCGTCCACACTACGCCGGAGGAATTCGAAAACGGAGGTTTCACTCTGAAAACTGACGCATCAAATGTTTTCCGTCCACAGCAATTTGAAAAGCGTTTTTGCAAGGCTCCGTTTTTCCTGACGGATTAGTGTGGACGGTAGGCCAGACCACAGAAATAAAGCTGCGTTTTCAAATTCCTCAGGCATAGTGTGGACGGAGCCTGAGAAAGTTGAATTCTTCCCAGGGTAACCTGGGGAGGGTAACCTGGGGAGGGTAACCTGGGGAGGGTAACCTGGGGAGGGTAACCTGGGGAGGGTAACCTGGGGAGGGTAACCTGGGGAGGGTAACCTGAGGAGGGTAACCTGGGGAGGGTAACCTACCTACAGTGTAAACGCTCTGCTGGCTAGGGACAACTGGCGTACCCGTACAACTTTAATCAATCAATCAATCAAGTTTATTTCCATATTTCGGTGCTTCATTTAATTACTTTATTTTATTTACTTTAATTTTATTTGGGCTCCAAGAAACAATATACGATGAAAATACCGGTAAAACGAACGAATTGTGACTTTAAAAACATGGTATTAATTCACATTTTGTTTTAGTTTTGCTTTGGACAGAAAAAATTTCGAATAACGGCTTTTTGCGAAGAAATTTTCGCAATAATGTTTGTCGCTGCTGTCGCTAAAATATTCAGATTGTAGACTTGTTTATAGCTTTGCCGTCAAATTAATCCCAAACTAAAGAAAAAGAAGTGTCTAGGATTTTAATTGAACCTAGCAATTGAAATGATTTCAGTGGAACTGATAAACGAATAAACCGCTTTATTTAGTGAAAATAGGTTTTGGCAATTAAAGAGTATTATTTACCGACCCTAGAATTGTCTCGGGTAGAAGGGTAAATCCTACCTGAAAAAGTTTGCTTGTAAATTAATGCGGGCTTATCTTTGACTCTCTTGGTGTGGTAATCCTGGTGCTGGGATAACCTTACCTGCTTGTAAACAGGGCCTTAAAGTCGTTGTATGCACAGAAATTAAAGACCGGAACAGATTTCATGTCAAGTGTTCAGCACAAACCAGTTCTATTCTTAAGTTGATTATTGGAAAATCAAAGGATTTTTGTGTTAAAGACGAAAACAAATTCCTCCTCTAAATATATCACCTTCAAATTAGTAAACTGGGCAATCGAGGGAGTGATATTTCTCTACATAGTTAAAATATCGCTCTGCAAATACGGGAAAATTTACATACGGTCTTTTACCTGGGGACAAACTTGCCTCCCTCCACGCAAGCATCTATGGGGCTAAGCCAAGAACTGCGGTTTTACAAGATGCGATCAATAAACTTAGCCATTTTACTCATTTTTGGGCATTATGAGGCATTACTTTAAACAGTGTGGATTGATTAAAAGATCGTGGAAGGGTCTGTTCGTTTGCGTGACATACGGCTGATTAGTAATTGTCTCGAATTAAAGAGCGATGTTTGTTATACCAGTGGAATACTTCGACACAAAATGAACTACAAAATATAGCGAAAGCACTCACTCATTCCACGATTCCTTCTTCGTAAGGTCTGCTTCGGCTAATTCCAGTTCGTACTTTGCATTTTCTGGGCACAGACTTCTCAAAGGCTCGACTTTCTGCTCGTTTGCCAAACTCCTGACTGTACCTCGAACGATGTATTCTCCGGAGTCTAGCAATTGTTTGACAACGTGCATTGCAAGATAACCAGAAGCGCCTGTTACAAGGACACGAGTCATATCGGCGGTGTAGTAAAACTGGTAACGTTTTCTCGTATAGGGTTAACGATTTGGGCCCAGGTAACTGTAACACTTCAGCTGCGGTATGAAATGTACAAGCAGTATGTCACGCCTAACTTAATATTGTTTGTTTTACATGTGGGCTATGACTCAGCGAAATTTATGGTAATAAGAAGGATAGCAAAAATGATTAGTTTCAGTTAGGTCGAAGGGGCAGGAAAAACGTGGGTGGGTAAGGCGTGAAGGGTGAAGAGGCCGAGAATATAGTAATAGAGGGGAATGGTTGTGAAACCCACAACGTTCTTTATTGCATGTTTTTGTTCGATTTTTTTGGCCTGAACTGTGCACAGATCACAATAGTTGTTTACATCTGACTAACCAATAGAGTGTGTTCACGTGACGTCATCAAATTCTCAAATCCAAAACTAAAGAGCCCCTAAAGGTTTTATCCTCATCAGGCACAAGAGGTACTAAATTTATATCTGTTTACATCTTTCCAGCTCAATAGCGTCCTTCGTTTGGAAACCAGCGCATTTTGAATTTCAGAGTTATGGCGGTGCGTGACATGAAGCTGAGATCGCGTTTGTCGAAAAATATACACTTATCTTGTGATTTTTAGCCATTTTAGGAGTCAAAGTATTAGGAAAAGTGCTTGTGTAAATGTCTTTTTGGTTCGGTTCAGATCATGTAATCAGTTGTCTACATAGCCAAAGTAAGTTCCAGATGTTTACATTATTTTCCGGCCGCCATATTGGAGGACTAAGGAGGTCCTCCACCATGGGGGCTCCTTACTAGGCTCTATAATTTTGCGCGGAACATTTCGACGAATATCTCACTTTTGGGACAACGCACACACCTTAAACGTCGAGAACTGTCTTCTTTATTTATCGTCTATAAGATCACAATTTCTTGAATTTATCCACTGAATGGTTTTTGATTTTATTTTTTATTGCGTGACATTACACACATATTATAGTGTATGAGCGCAACACAAAAGCTTGTGCAATGTCGTGGGCTTTCCAGCATAAATCTTGGTATCTTTGTTTGCTCCTTTGATGTTTGCCGAGCTTCATAACCATTTCCCTCTATCAAATTTGACAAGAATGAACTCTTAATTATTTAAGGACATTGTTTCACGAGAAGTTAGAAGAAGCAGAAAGGCGACTACAGTGTAATCAGATGAGAGTGCTGCCCTGCAAAGTGAGAAATGAAATGAAAGTAATTATACTGGTCAATACTCAGTCACAATCAGATATTGCTGGATATTGGCTTGTACTTTCATCGGCAAAGATATAATCAAACAAAGGAAATGAACAAAAGGTGTTCAGAAAGCCTGTATTAAAATATTTTAGAAATATACAGTCACGCTATTGATCCCAAGAACGCAAATGATCCCAGAACTGTACCTTTTTAGGATCGTCACATTGTACCGCAAATGATCCCCTGACTGGAAATGGTCACCTCGCCATAAAGGATGGAAATGTGTGGAGCAAGAATTTGGAAAGTGGATTATATAAATTTTAAAAAATGTATATAATCCATTCTTTTTGTCTTAATACTTTGAAACTCAGAAAACCGTGAACACTTTGATTTGATTCTGACAGGTCCACTGTGTACTGACTAATCACAATTAAGTTCAGGACACGTGAGCAAACCTCAGGACTACAAACTATTTACCGTTGCTGTTTGTAGTTTAGATTTCTCACGCATGATATAATGTTCTTATTTCTTGTTTGGTCCTGTTACACAATAACATTAACATAAGTATTTCTTTCGGTTTTTCCGAGTTTCACAGTAATAGAACAATGGTAGTAGATTTATACTAAAACAATTAGATTATTCGCTCTCGGTTTCTATGCGATAGAAATCGAGAGTGAATAATCTAATTGTTTAATAGAAACAGTCGTGAAAGTTTGGGAGAACTCGAGAAAGCTGTGGAAACACTCGCCTTCGGCTCGTGTTCCCACAGCATTTCTCGTTCTCCTAAACTTCCACTCGAGGGAAAAAATTCTAAGCGGTCAATTGGACAGCAGAGGCATCTTGGAATATTCATGTTTTTTTTTTTTTCTGCGCTGCGTTTTCTGAACGACGGCGTTTTTATTGTGTATTTTAAACAGTCCGTTAACCGTTTTTTATTGTTGCTTTTATGCCTGAGAGCTTGTGTTTTTCTCACCTGGGAAAATGAAAAAAAAAAATAGTATAGGTCAGTATAGATCCATAGACTTTTCATGGAGTCTACGCCATTCCTATTTTTTGGCGGTATCATTTGTAGGAATCATTTCCGGTCTGGTCCCGAAAAGTTTTCGCACCCGAAAAGCCGTAGCAAAATCTCAAACCTTATGACTTCAGAGCTGTTTTATATACATATTCGTAATATAAACAGAAGTTCTCTTCATACAAGAAGTTTCAGGAGTATACACCTCTCTGTCTTTAAATACCGATTAACTAAAAATGGCTTTGCCGGCCTGAAAAGTTTCCGGGGCTTTCGAGAAACCGGCCTCTGCAAGATTGACTACAACTCGGTATAAATACAGAACTTCCAAAAGCTGTTGACGAATTGATCGTGCAAGTAAAATGAATTTACATGTTTATAACTGCAACAAATGTGTCATTTGTTTCTTTTGTAAGTGTTTTCTGAAAGAACCAGAAAACATTTACTCCTAGCTTTTGTTGAGGTTCTGAAACACTGGTAACAGTTTGAAAGACCATATGCCGCGGTAACACGAGCCCGTGCCATCTCGTTGAATCTACATGGTGTTAGGGACGGACCATTATTTTTTCAAAGGACGCTGGGCAATTTTCTGAGGTATGAAATGTTTTTCTCATCGTTTTCCTAGGTCGTGCATGATTTTTTTTGGTGGGCAACAGCTTGTGCAATAATGTTTTTAAAGTCAAAGCACTTGCTTGATTTTTCTTTTCTCCATGGCTCCGCTCCTTTCACGATTTTTCCCCCGCAGTTTTTGTCTAAAAATTTTTTTGGGAAACTGCCCAACGCCTCCCCNCCCTTCCCACCCCTCAAAAAATAATGGTAAGTCCCTCGCTATTAGATTATGACCACCAGTGATAGTTGAATCGACTGTTTGAAATAGTACCTCATAGAAATTCAGGGCGCAAAATGTTATTGTTTTAGTTGAGGCACTCCTCGAAAAAGACTTGTTTCGTTGAACGCGTGAGTTTTTCAATCTCCAATTTTCACATTTCGAACCCCACTCCCCTTTTCAATGTTGTAACTACGTGACACAGTGTCCACGGAGCGTATTTCAACATTGAACAGGAGGAGAGAGGGGTTTGGCTATCGACAAAAAAGATGTATTTTTCAATTACGGAAGGACGCCGATAGAAAGCGTTTGTTTTGCTCAAATGTGTCAACACTTTTGTCCATGATTGTAGGTTTCCTCCATTAGTGATTTCCAGTTATTTCTCAACATTTTCATAACATTATACTTAGAATAGAATAGAATAGAATAGAATAGAATAGAATAGAATAGAATAGAATAGAATAGAATAGAA